TTTATTTATTATTATTATCATTATTATTTTTCAGTTTGATCAGAGAGAGACAGAGTGAGAAAGAAGAAGTGAGAAAGCAAGCCACCAGGTCCGAGACTTGAACCGTGGTCGGCCATGTGGGAGTCCAGCACCTTTAACCACCATGCCACTTTAAAAATTTTAAAAAAAAAAGTTCATTCCATATTTAGGAAACAATGTGTTCTTTTAGGGCCTGCTTTATATCTCTTCCATAGGACTCACCTAGTCCCCAGGTCACAGTTGAGGGGACAGATGGTTCTCACAGTTGGGGTAATGTCCAGGTTCTCAGACAGGAAGTGTGCACAGGAGGGACTGCCCCAGGTCAGTTGGCGTGACTCCTGCCTCTGCTGCAACTCTAGCATGAATCAGGGGGTTCATCATGCCTACAGGGTTCAAGGTCCCTTGACTTTCAACCTACTTGACTGCTAACCCTGGCAGATGGGACCCCCCCCCGCCCCCGCATGGTTTTGTTACTTCTATTTGGAGCTAGCTCCACTTCTAGGGTGCTGGTTTTGTTCTTCTGGGACCTTACTCGAGGATCGCCAGGAGCCTCTGGAATCCTGACCTTTTCCTACTCATTCATCTGAAGTTCCGTCATGGATGGAGTGGTGCCCCCAAATTCATATATGGCGTCCTGGCCCCCAGTAGCTCAGGACGTGACTATATTTGCAGACAGCACCCTTAAAGAGGTGACTAAATTCAAATAAGGTTGTGGGGGGCCCTAATCCAATTGGACTGAGGTCCTATAAGAGATCAGGACACAGATACACAGAGGATGGCCACGTGAGGACAGGGAGAAAATGCTATCTACATGCCAAGCAGAGAGGCCGCCGAAGGGATCAACTCTGCAGCACCTGATCTCGGCCTTGCAGCCTGCTGGACTAAGGGCAGTGAATATCTGACATTTACACCGTCGGTCTGAACAGCAGCCCTGGCAAGTGTACACGGAGTCTTCCTCAGCAGACAGTGTGAGCACAGCCACAGGCAGAGTTTCACAAAGTGGGACTGGAGCAAGCCCTCTCCCCAGGCTGCGGCCTGTCTCACACTGGAGGGCTCAGGTCTTAGCGTCCCTGAGTGCACAGGTGCTTTGTTCCTTGTTTTCCTGAAAACTCTCCCTGCTCCCTACCTTGCGCAGGGGAGCCAGGGAGCATTCAGGCACGGCTGTGCCCATGACCTGGGGCTGACTGAGGCCAAGGATGGACCAAGCATCAGGACCCTCTTGGACGTGCTTCCTCTCTCTCTCTCATGGAAGAAAAAAAATAAAAACTTTGAAAAAGAAAAAAATGGTATACATGGCAATTCAGACTATTTGTCCTCATCCTGAGGACATGATAAACTTGTACTAATTCAATGCCAGTAGAAAATGCTAGTGTGTTGGGCTCACCTCGCGTGTAACAGGTGCCTTTCTGTGGTGCTGTCTCCTGGGCTCTTTCCGTGGGACCATTCCATCCGGGAGCAAAGGGCACCAGGATTCCAACCTTGTGTGTATTTACTAAGCTTCCCTGAGGCTTGTGTATTTTGGGTATTGTGGTGTTTCAGATCCCTGCGTGTATAGAAGAGAGAATGCAAACAAAACAATGCTGTTCTTCAGGGTTCATTTGTGAAATTTGAAATTACTCACATTTAAAATAAATTCCTAGACTGGGGAAATAAAAAAAAAAAAGCAAAATCCAAAGATTGGAATGTTTTTCTTCATTGACTTTTAATGGAAAACAAATGAGATTCTTTTAAAAAAGAAGAAGAAAAGGTTAATGGTGGGCCAGCCGGTGGTGTGATGGGTAAGGTGAGCAGCGCTCACACGCCACCTCGCAATTCCAATCTCAGGCCCGGTGGCTCGGAAAACATGCTGCGAGTATGTGCATGCGTGCCCAAGATCCTGAGAGGAAAAGGGGGGAGAAGAGACTGTGGTGTGGCCATCCACCCAGGGGTACTTTCTCTCTCTCTCTCTCTCTCTCGTGCAAATATAAACACCCTGTAGCAACTTTTTGAAATTAAAAATAGCTTTATTGAGATATAATTCACATACCAAACAATTCAGGCATTAAAAGTGTACAATTTAGTGTTTTTTGATATATTCACAGAAATGTGCAACTACCCGCACAATTTGAGAACATTTGTATCATTAAAAAAAAAAAAAAAAAAAAAAACTCCCTCTCCTTTCACCATGCCTCTCCATTTCTCCTCCTCAACCTCCAGGCTCTAGAAACCACTGATCTGCTTTCTGTCTCTATGGATTTGCCTATCCTGGATTTCAAGTAAACAGAATCATGCGTATGTGGGCTTTTGTGTCTGGTTTCTTTCTCTTCCCATGATTTTTGAGGGTTGATCTATATTGTCCTCCACGGCCTCCCTCCCCACTCAGAGCCTGGCTCCCTGGTCCACTCTATGTCTGGGCAAGTACTTCACTCTAAATAATTGGCCATTTGCTGGCCTACCCAATGAGATATCCTAAGCATCTATACAACAGGGTTGCTCTGAGGGTTAAGGGACTAAACCGTGTCAGCAATGCTAGGAATGGATGCTAACTATCCTGCTTACTGCTACCAGGACTGCTTTGGAGCTTAGCTAATGAATCAAATCTTCCCCTCAGTTGTCCAAGTAAGAACCATTACTGTTCCATGTTACAAATGAAGACACCGACGCAGAGGAGTGACTGGCCAGGTCCAAATGCAGGCCTGGTCCCACTGTCCACAGGGCTCCTGATCTCTCTGCCACATTCTCTCCTGACCGGGAGATGACTCGAGCTTGACTGGAGCACCCGGAATCCACTCAGGACGTGCTCTTCACGGGACTGGCTCATCCACTTCCCCCCCCATCTCTGCACAGACCCACCCTCATCCATTTCCACCAGCATCCAGGACTCCAGCTCAAAAAGGATCTGATGCCAGGGAATCCACCTAGGAATGATAGCCCTGTGCCCAGGAAGGGCCTGTCGCCAGTCCAGGACACCACTGGGCCCAGGAAGATAATGGTTAAACCAAGGTGCCGCCTTATAGTTTGAAACATCTCCCCTCGTACTTTCTGCTCCCTGAGCACCCCAGCCTGGAGCGGGGCCCATGCCATAAGCAAGAGGCTGTTAGGAATACCAGAGACAGCTCCTTCTGGCCAGTCCAAGTACCAGAACAAATGACAACTGCATGGATTGAAACATGGGCAGATTCTTTTTGTTTGTTTGTTTTTAAACTTCTTTTTGTTTGTTTGAGAGGTTTTTCCTATAGGGCGCATGCACTTGCCAGAGAGACAGACAGAAATAGAGAGACAGAAAGCAAGAAATCACCCCCCAGAAGAGATGGCCACACCACAATCCCTTCTCCTCCATTCTCCTCTCGGGATCTTGGGCATGCACACACACATACCTGGCGTGAGTTTAAGCCACCAGGTCTGGGACTCGAACTGCAGTGGACTACATGGGAGCCCAGTGTCATAGCCATTACACCATCTGCTGGTCCCACACAAGGAGATTCTTAATGAATGGGTAAGTCCTTCAGCAAAATCCAGCTGTGAGCTCTCCATGGTCTGACGGAGGTTGGTATGACAACTCATTCTGAAAACTGATTAGAAAAGGCAATCGGGCACTTATATTGTCTTACCTGTCTGGACCATATTTGAGAGGAGAGGGAAAGTTCTTGTTTACTGGTAGTAGAACTGAAAGCCATAGAAGGGATGGTTGAGTTAGGATGCCACCCATTTGTAGCTTTTAATGAAATAATGGATCCAGGCAAGGAACATCAAAGACTGCTGAAACCACTCCAGGAAGAGCAGGGTCAAGAAAAGGAGAGATGAGAGTAGCCATCAGGCAAATGCGAGGGTAGGTCCCGTTGGCTTTCTGGTTCTAACCTTCAGGGGAAATAACTACTTTGGGAAGCCGTGTGTTAGATATTTAGATGCAATCAGTGTTTGTCCTATGGGCACTATAATGGCATGGGGTGGTGCTTAGAAAAGTCTTGACATTAAGAATTGAAACAACGGAGCCAAATCCCACCCCCATGGATCCCAAGAACAGGCAGAGGGGAAATAAAAACTGGGAAGGGAGGACCGGAGAGATTTTACCTCCATCAAGTTCAGCTCAGGATTCACCTCCAAGGCCAGGCAGTGGCACAGCAGTAACTAGACCCTTATTGGAAAGGCTCTGGGTTCATGTCTTCCCTGAGCACACAGGATACATGCACATGTGCCCATCATCCAGGCCAGCTGAGACTGGGGGTGGCATGAAGGCTCTGTTGGTTCTACCTATCTCTGTTTCTCTCCTGGAAAAAAAAATTAAGTTAAAGAAAAAAAGAAAGATTCACCTCTCACCCAAGAGAACTGAAAACATGTCCACACAAAAACTTGTACATAGATGTTAATAGCCACATTGTTCCTAATAGCCAAGGAGTAGAAATCACTCAGATGTCCATCGATGAATGAATAGATTAAACAGAATGCAGTCTGTCCACACAGTGGCATATTACTCAGCCATAAAAAGAATGAAGTACTGACACATGCTATAACATGCATGAAGCTTAAAGACATTATTCTAGGTGAAAAGGGCCAGACATAGGCCAGTTCTGTGGCCTGACTGTTAAGACTGTCAGATCTCACATGGCCAACCATGAAGTTCGAGTCCCCAGATGCATTTCTCCATCTTGATGGAATTTGAGGTACACACCCACACACCCAGTATGATTTTCTTTTTTTTGTACACACCCACACACCCAGCATGATTTTCTTTTTTTTCAAGAGGTTTTCCGATAGGGCGCGTGTGCTCACCAGCCAGACAGAGAGAGGCAGAGAGACAGAAAGCGAGAAATCACCCCCCAGGGGGGATGGTCACACCGCAATCCCTTCTCCTCCATTCTCCCCTCGGGATCCTGGGCACAAACGCACACGCGTCCGGCGTGAGTTCTAAGACACCGGGTCCAGGATGCGAACTGCGGTCGACTACGTGGGAGTCCAGTGACATAGCCATTACGCTAACTGCTGGTTCCCCCCAGCATGATTTTCAAGCTGACAGATCCAGGATTTAAACCATGGTTGGCCATGTGGGATCTGGCTCCCTTAACACCTTGCCCTACTATGTTCTTTTTAAAGGATGAATAGTATGGTATGGAAATTACAGCTCAATTTTTCAGAAAAGATTAAAAAAAAAAGAAAAAAGAAAAAAAAAAAAACCCTGTGCTATTCTGAACAAATCACCCTGTGCGAACAGCCTGGTTGCATGCCAGGAAGCTGCCCTACTGCTGTGGGCAGGGGACACAGGAGAAGAACAAGATTGCATCCGCACTTGCCTTGCATTCCACTCAAGTTCTTCCCACTGAAGGCCCCTGTGACCCAGCAGCTGCCTTGATGATCCTGTCCCCTCCTCCTCTCTCATCCCACGTGCATCTTCCCAGCATTCAGACATGCTCTGCACTGTCCTGAGCCCTCGTGTACCTGCCTGGAACTCCCTTCTTCTTGATTTCAGTATAGTCAAGGTCCCTTAAGGTCTCAGCCCAGACGGCCCAGCCTGAAGGGACTTTCCCACCACTCGCTCTAAATTAGCACTGGCCGTGGCCCTCCTTTACCACCTGGCCACATTCCCCATCTTCTTCTTCTTCGTTCACTCGTCTATGTCTGCAACCTTGTCCATGGCTGTATTCATAGCACCTCACACGGTCACTGGCTAACAGCAGGTGCTTAATAAATGCATATACATGGATGAGGGAATCTCTGCCCTAGAGGAGACCCGGGGACATTCAGGGCTCTCCGCTTGCTGACAATGAAAGAGGACTTGGCCATTTGGGGAAGAGGGTTTTTTTCCCTCTTTTCTTTTTTTTCTTTTTTTTTTATTCCTTTGGTAGAGATTTTTGCCTTAGGACACATGTCCTCCTTGGATTGAGAGAGATAGGCACAGTGAGAGGGAAAGTGAGAAATCAGCCCCTGGGGGGATGGCCATGCTGCATTCCCTTCTCCTCCATTCTCTTACTGGGATCTTGGTCACCCATACACATGCACCCCACATGATTTTCAAGCCACTAGGTCTAGAATTTGAACTGTGGTCAACCATGTGGGAGTTCAGAGATGTCTGTTCGCTATGCCATCTACTAGTCCCTGGGGAAGATTTTTCTATAGCCAGGGTTAAACCATCCCTTCCCTCCTATCTACATGACAGTCCCAGTCCTTGGAGAGAAGGGGGTCCACAGAGGGATTCTGACTCCATTTTACTTGGAACAAGCAGGACTCATGGGGGTTGTGATCAGAAAAAAACATCTTTTGCTCTTCTTGTTCTTCCAAGTGTATTCAGAGGGGTCAGTTCTTCTCCAGCTGTGGGTAAACACTTGGATTGACCCCTCTGAATACACCAGGTGCCAGGCTCTGCCACCCCAGACAGGTATCCAGGCCAAGAAGGCATTGACACTCGTGCTGAGGTTGGATGGCCTCCAGTGCCCCACCCTGATGTCCATCAATGGGCTCCTGTACCTCTCTCAGCGAACATGGTGGCAACTCAAAGCAGGGTCTGGCTCCAGAATCCTTCTGCAAAAGTGGGGAATGGGGCAGGCAGGAGAACAGGTGCTGGCATCTGTGTCATCTGAGCCAAACAGGGTGGGACAGGGGGTGTGGGCCTTGAGACAACAGAGGGGCAGAACAGCAGAGGCTACCACTCCACAGAGGCTGAAACTCTGTGGCCTGGGAGCCTGCCCTCCCAGGGACAAATATAGCCCAAAGCTATTCTAAGGGCCACCTAATCACTCCTAAGGGCTTTGACGTCAGATGGCCCCATGTTGTCTGTGAATGCATATTTACACAGAAGAGCAATCAAGTGGAGAAGGATAAAGGCTCTTTTTTTTTTTCCCCCAGTTTTTGCCATAGGGCATGTGTGCTTGCTGGAGAGAGACACAGAGAGAAGGAAAGTGAAAATCATCCCAGAGGGTTGGCCACTGTAACCCCTTCTCCATTCTTCTCTTGGGATTTTTTTTTTTTTTTTGGAGAGGTTTTTGCTATAGGGCGCATGTGCTCGCCAGACAGACAGAGAGAGTCAGAGAGACAGAAAGCGAGAAATCACCCCCCAGCGGGGATGGCCACGCCGCAATCCCTTCTCTTCCATTCTCCTCTTGGGATCTTGGGCACGCACGCACACGCGCCTGGCATGAGTTTTAAGCCACCGGGTCTGGGACGCGAACCGCGGTTGACTACATGGCAGTCCAGCGACATAGCCATTATGCTAACTGCTGGTCCCCTCCTCTTGGGATTTTGGGCACGCGCACATGCACGCCTGGCGTGTTTATCAAGCATCCAGGTCAGGGTCTTGAACCACAGTCAGTCATATGGGAGTCCAGGGCCTTAACCACACCACCTACCGACCCAGAACAGGCTCTTTCTTAGAGGAGCCCTCTGCAGCAGCCTCCAGCAGCTGCTTCCAGCTTGCATTCTTCATTCTAAAGCACAGTTTCCCCTCCCACAGCCAGGAAGTGGGAGCCCCTGGTACAGAAGGGGCCTCAGTGGTGCTCTACCCCACCCAGTCCTGAACAGAGGAGGTCCTCGATGACCCTTTTAGTTATAAACTATAGAACAACCTTCAAAAAGTTCATTAAAAATGTGTATTATGAAAAAAAAATGCAAGGATTTAAAATTTTTTTGCACCAAAATAAACTCATACCTTAATTCCATTTTCCCACAAATTTTTTGAAGGCCCCTTGTATAATCAGTAATCCAAACCAGATAAGAATATCAATAATAAGCGGTACCATCAATTACACCTTTAGTATAGAAAGTTGTAAGCTGGGTGGGGGTGGAGTCCAAGGAGCCTTGTCCAGCATTTGGCCACCCTCTTGGTTAGGAAGGGAAGGGAGCCTGACCACTCCAAAGTCCTGAGACATACCCTGAATGAGGAAGGTGACCTGGGTGGCCATGACCGCCCCAAGGAGAGATGAGCAGTAAACCAGACAAGCTGAGGGTCAAAGACAGGAGAAAGGACTGGACAAGGAGCAAGGAGCCGAAGGCCAGGAAGGCTAGGGTTAGAAGCCCAGGCCGGGAGGCCCCATGGCATAGCAGTTGGGCACTGCACAGAGGAAGCCACATCACATATGGTCCATCAGGTCCAAGTACCAGCCCTGCTGGCTTGAAAAATAGCAAACACAGAATCCTGGCAGAATGGGGAATGAGAGGAAAAAGGACTGCGGCATAACCAGAGCCTACTGAGGGGGGTTCTCTCCATCCTCCCCGGGTCTCCCCGCTTGCTTTATCTTTTCTCTCTTGTGTGCATGCACACACTTTCTGGCATTACAAAGATGAAGAAGGAAAAGGAGAAGAAGGGCCAGCCAGATGGCATGGTGGTTAAGGTACTGGATCCCAAATGGCCAGCTTTAGGGTTGGAGTCCTGGACCTGGCAGCTTGAAAAACACACCAGGCACGTGTGTGTGCATGCCCAAAGTCCTAAGAGGAGAAGGGACTGGGTGTGGCTATACCCTGGGGGTGGTTTCTTAACTACCCCACCCCCATCACTCTCTGGCAAGGACATGCATCCTATAGGAAAAAAAAAATCTTAATAGCCAATAAAACATGGGCACTGAAGAACTGGAACAGACACCCCAGACATACCTAGGGTAGGTGCTGGACCCCTCTGTGGCAGATGCCAACCCTTTAGGGGCTGGGTCATTGAGAGAGAGGTCCCGGGGTCCTGGGGGAGGAATGTTGGGTCAATGTAGTAGTGTGATTTCAGGAGCTTGGAATAAAGACTAGTTATCAACCAGTACAGAGACAACTCAGTACTTTAATGGCCTCAAGGACTTTACCACATATGTAGCGGCTGAATGCCAGCATGGGTGACGAGTGGAAAGCTGGCAGCATGTGCTTAGCCATCTGAGCAGCACAGATGGCCCTGGGCAGGGGAGTGCGGGTGAACCACAGGCAATGGTCAAGGCTGCGCCAACCGCTTCTCCTGGCTCTGCCTAGGAGCCGAGGGAGATAGGATGAGAGCTGGGCAACACTTCTGGGAAACTGGGCAAGGCATGGAGGTCACTGGGAGGGAAGAAGGTATTCAGGGGCCACGTGATGTGCCAGAATCAGGGGTCTCTGTGCCAGCCCTGTTCACCTGGAAAGAGGAGAGCTAGGGGTGGGCACAGTCCCCCTCCCAAGTTACTGCCATCCTGCTGGGCTAGTGCCCCTCAGGAGACATGTCCTTAACTCCAGTGGGCACCAGTCCCCTGCACATTCCATGCACACAGTGGGCATTCAGCATGTGCTTGGTCAGGTGAGAGTGTACTCCCCCGTGTTGGGCCAGACTCCCTCTCACCCTGTCCTTTGGGTTCCTCTCCACCTCCTACTGCAAGGACCCACAGCCTATGTGATCTCATGTGATCAGTACCTCCCCTCCCCACCCCACCCCACTCCCCCTGCCCTCATTTCCTACCACCCCTACTCACTCCGGTCTATTGTGCCTCCAGGCCTTTGCGCTTGCTGTCCCCTCTGCCCAGATTGTTTTCCCCTGATGTGTGCAGAGTTCCATTCCTCATTTTCTTCGGGTCACTGCTCAAACGTCACCTGTTTGGAGGAGGTTCTCCTGACCACCTTACATGAAATAATGCAACGCTCACACCTCCATCTTCCCACCCTGCTTCGTTTTTCCCCAGAGCTATGTCTGGAGGGCACCAGGAGGGCAGGGACCATGTCTGATGGCAAAGACTGCAGTCTGTCGACAAAAACCTAACTTTTAGAATGAAAAAGCAGGCCACGTGTGCTTACTTAGTTTTACTTCTTTTTAGATTTTGTTACTAGAAGCATGCAAATTTCCTGGGAAATGGACCATCCGAGAAAAATTAAGAAGCTGCCGCCGTTAATCCTAGTCACATTATTTTCCCTGCAGTCCGTTTTGTCTGACATTAACACAGCAGTGGATTAATAGCGTTCTTCCGACTGGTGCTTGCAGGATATCTCTTCTCACCTTCTTCAACTTTTATCCTTTCCGTCTTCTTATCCATCAGGCATGTCACTCGTACACAGTCCATAACCGGGTTGAGGTGTGACTCTGCACATTAACATCAGCTCAGCAGTAAGCAGGTCTGTGGGTACGACTCCTCCAGCCCTCCCTGGGGTCAGCTCTAAGGGTTGCACAGATGAGCCAGGGGAGTCCCAGCCCTCACTGAGGGGCCACGTGATTGAGGGAAAGGACTGGCTCAGAATTTGAGCCCCAGCTTCCCCACTGCCTCCCTGCCCACCCAGTGCCCCCCTCAGAGTCTATTTTCTCATCTGTAAACCAGGGGTAGTCACCTCTCCTTTCTCACACATCTGGCTGTGGTCCAGAAGGGATGTGCAGGTGCCATGTCCCTTAGTCACTGGCCCTTCCAGCTTGAGGGTGCCTGCAGTGGGTTAGAGCTACCTGGGTATTCGTCAAGGATAGGGAGTTAGTTCTTGAGGCTGGTTGTTAGAAAAGAGAGATGAGCCAGGAGCTCTCCCTACAAGGGCCCACCATTCTCCGTGCTCTGTCAGCCACCAAGTAGGCCCAAGACTTTGGACTTTCCAGCCAGAATCATGAGTTTGTAAATACACTTCTACTTTATAAAAACACCCAGGTTTAGGTATTACTGCTAGCAATGCAAAAGCAGATTAAGGCAGAGATAGACAGTAAGTCAGTGGCAGGTCAGCCAGTGGCATGGGGGTTGGGGCAGATGGATCTCATATGGCCAACTATGTGGTTTGAGTCCCAGACCCAGCAGTTTGAAAAACACGTGTGCATACATGCCCCAAATCCCAGAAAGAAACGGAAGTGCTTTCTCACTTTCCTTCTCTTCCTCTCTCCAGGGAGTGCATGACCCCACTAACAAATTTTTTTAAAAAAAGAAAGTTAATTAGTGGCCACCAGAGGCTGACAAAAAGGAAGAATAGGGAGTGATTGCTAAGAGGTACAGGTTTTCCTTCTGGGCTAACAAATGTTTTGGAACTTCATAGAGATGATGATTATACAACACTGAGTATACTGAATGCTAACACATGGCTTACTTTTAAAATATAAATGTCATGTTATGTGAATTTTATCTCAACATCAACAAAAGCAAAATCTGCAAGAAGCTTGCCTGGTGGTGGGTCTAGTAGCTACGTGATGGCATTGAGAACAGGTTCTTTCCATGCTGCATTGTCCTTAGGGAACCGGCTTTTGTCCCTAGGTGCACTCATAGTCACAAAATAGCTGCAGGGTTCTAGACATTGTGTCCCCACACAACTGCATTGAAAGGCTAGAAGCATCAGTGAGGCCAGGGTAGTGATAGGCACCTCAAATGACTCTCCTTTTAGTGGGAAGGAAGGGCTTTCCCAGAGGCTTTCTCTCCTCCACTCACTGGACAGAATCAGGTTCCCAGGCCCCACAAGAACAAGCATAGGTCAGGAGATGGGGCTTGCTCTGACTGGCTTAGACCTCTCGAAGCCTATCCCCTGGAGCCAAGCAGCACTCCAGAACCACAGCAGGGTTCTGCCCGCTGGGTCCTTGTTGTCAGATGCTTCCTTTAGCACCCAAAGTGCAGGAAGTTCCAAGATGTTATGCCCAGTACATCGTATAAATAAATCAATTCTCCTATCAGATAAACACAGACTGACATCTGCGTGGGACAGACTGGGCTAGTGGGAGAAAGCGCTCAGGCCCTGTCCTGCTGGTCCGAGAGCTTCCGCCTCTGCTGCCATGAGACAGAGCTCGCCGGGGGCTGTTGCCTCCCTGCCTCTGCCCACAGCCAGGGTCCTCGTGCAGAACATCTCTGGGCGGATGTCCATCAGCCTAACTGACATCACTGGAAAATCCAGAATTCTCATTTGCATACACTTCCAGGAGTGTGGAACTTCTGGGCAGCATATGTGAATTGAACATGAAAGTACATACATTATGAAAAACATGTGAGCAGCGCTTCCTGAGCCATGAAGTCATCCTTCACTCCAGCCAGAAATGTGGGGGTCTTCCGAAGTCCCTTACCGCGCAGAGGACAAGTCAGCAAGTTCTGATGACTTAACTCATGAATATTCAGCAGATGTGCCCCTCGTGCCCACGTGGCCCTGGCCACCTCTCCAGACTCTCGCTCTGACTCTTGGCCAGTCTTCAGTCTTCATGGACAACTGTCCACCTCAGTCACCTTCTCCTCAAATGGCCACCAGGGGGACTTTTCTAAAACACAAACTGAGTCCGTATCCCCTCCTTGCTGCTCACCTCCCCCGACCCATGTGAGATCCAAGCTGGCCTTCAGTCAATAAGGACACAACGGATGTCCAAGATGGAGAAAGAACAGGAGGATCTCAGACCCCAGAGACCTGGCCTCTCTGTGGTGCTCACTGCAAAATGGGAACTGCCATGACCTGATCAACCGTGTGGCTGGAAAACCAGCA